AATTTAGCGCAATTGTCCTGTTTTGTGGACTATTAATTATTAATTCCAATTGCCGTTAAATCTCTATGCTGATATCAAATATCAAATTACGCATGCATAATATATGCAGTATTTATTGCCGGTGCTGGAGAAAAGCCGCAATAATCAATTAAACAATATATGTAATAAACCCTTTCTGGTGATAGGTTCAATAAAATGTTATGTGATATTCAAGAAAACGCTTGTATCATTTGTACAACACAAAATAATTTACCAACAAATTTTTTTGCTTAAATCTCAGAAAAGATCTCTCTTGTTCTTAAATCGTGGATGGGGCCAAAAGAACAATCACAACACTTGCTTTTGGGGAGCGTTTTAAAAACCCGGCTGAAGACACAATATGCACAAAACAAATTTGCTTTAGGCAAGTAAAAGTTGTTGAGATGCATTTATTTAATAGCTATTTGGAGGTTTAAAAGGCGATTTATGCTACGCATCAAAAAATAGTTAAAGCTGCGGTGGCACTAAAATGGTACCATAAAAGCAATCAAACGGGTGATTACCATTTGGATAGGTTGCGTCTGAGGCAAAGGTTTTGATTAGAATCTGGCGTTGTAAATATGTCCTGTTTGTTCACATCTGCATCGATATCGGTGATTTTTAGCAATAACCGACGGATATTACTGTTATTTGGTACCGGCAACGACATTATAAATTAATTTGCCAGATGAACGGAATGCGAAAGGCAAACCATCCGAAGGAGAACCAAAGGTAGAATTAACCCGTAGCTCGAATTGAAACACGCCCTAGGCCTCAAAGCAATTTGAGGCAATTTATTAGTCTAAACCAGCGGCCGAACGTGTTATTAAATTTTTAATTTTGATCACTTTACGTTATCAATAATATTAATTAAGAAGGCTGAGAATAATAGCTTACGAAAAAACATATCCCTCTCGATGGCTATCGTTGAGTGGGTTTCGCCTCGGGCTCAGAATACCAGTATGTTGATGGTGCAGATAATAATACAAGAAGTGCAGTTTGCACACGGCCCCATTATGCACGAGATGCTTAAACAAATTATTTTAATATAGTTTAGTCGAGTGGAAAATTAATACGTCTTGATTGCCAGTTGCTGGAGCGAACCGCGATTGTGTTTACTTCCTAATTTATGGCAACTTTTCACCAACCACCAATTTCAGCACTTTCCTTTTACGCTTTACGCCACCCGCCAATTATCAATCAACAACATTCCGCTATTACAAGCAACGTCTCCGCAAATTTATGTACAAAAGTATCCAACGCACTTCTTCACAGTATTTAATGTGCAAAAACTGTAGTTGAAATATTAGAGTTACAAATAATTGACTGCTTGACTGCATCTGTGAAGGATTTGCAGGAAATGTGACTGGACAGCGAGAAAAATGTAAAAATATCTAAGAACAGGCTAGTGAAGAAGCTTCAAAAAGCGTCCGGAAGATATTTATTTAACTTATTTCGCGATATGTGGGAGAAAATTCTTCTTTGCTTTGGAACTGGTCACGAAAAAGCCCAAAACCAGTTAAGACATTTGAAGAGTATTTGACAAAATACATTTTCAATCTCTAGAACAAGGAAATTTTAATATAGCAAAATCAGGAACTATCAAGAAAGACGGAACAAATAATCTGTTGAATTCGCAAATTACCACCAACAGGCCAGCGTCGTTCTCTTGAGAATTAGGAAAGTTAATTTACAATGTTTTGCGCCAATTTTAGTAGAAACAAAAAATTATTACGAAGTACAAAGGAAGGAACAAACTAAAATTGAGTCAAACGCACCCAAAATAACTCAAGCAAGACCAAAACTGACCCAGACGGATCACAACAATTTAAAAGGTTTATGTTTTGTATCAATTAGCGTTGTACCAGCTTAGTTACAAGAGCGAAAGGAGACGGAAACATCAAAATAACAATAAAATGGATATTCGCAAATAGAAGAAAACAAATTTCGAAAAATAGCAGGAAATTAAGAAGGAAGAAGCAAATTATTCGTTTAATAACACGGCGATTTAAAACTTGAAACTGAATTGGCAATTGTCGTCTTGTCTAATAATCTTTTGCGCCAAAATTCTGATTGCACCAGAAATTTGCATGAATTCAAACGTTTTTAACTTCAACAAACTGACCTGAACAGAAACAAACTTGAACTATTTTTTTGCATCAAAAACCGGGTAAAATTGAAGCTTTATTAGTGGAGAAGAATAAACCAGAAATAGAGTAAAATGAGAACAAAATATAATGAACTTTTCTAGACAGATAAATTAAAATAAAAGGCATGAAGGCAGAAACTACAATGAAAAAAACGGAGAATAAAATGTTGATTGAGAAAGTTAGAATTTTTAAATGTAACAATTTTAATCTGCAATGGAATTCTTTGAATAAAATGAAATTGCATCAAACTCAGCTTGCAGTTAATTCATCAGGTTAGTTAGTTAACATGGAAAATTATTGTAATTTAACGTTCTTTACCAAACTTTGAATAAAAACTAAATAGTTTGCTGTGCTTTGAAGGCCATACTAATCCAAACGATCTGAAGCAAACCCAAACTAACAGAGTTTAACCCAAACAAACTCGAATAAATCCAAATCGATCCAAACGAACAACAAATCAATTATTCAAGCTTAGTCGGAAGCGTCAAAAAAGTCGGAAATACATCAAAATAATTATAATAGCCAAATTTTTGATTGTGCATCAAGAACCGTGTTAAACTGAAGCTCAATTAGCAAAAACGAAGAAGCCCGAAAAAAAAATACATAAGAAATAAAAACAAAGCTTTCTAGGTGGAGCAATAGAAGTCAAATACCTAGAGGGGCAATCAATCAGCTAAATTGAGCTGAAAATTAAAATCGCCTTGGAATTCTTTGAATAGAGAATCAAAAAATACAAGAAAAGCTAAACTATTCATAGTGTGTTGCGTCGTGCAGACTCTTCATAACTGATAATTTTGAGTGCTACTGAAACCGCGGCGATAAAAATTAGACTGAAAGACGCCCTGGGAAAAATATTGCAAAAAGGCACAGAATTGAAGATAAAAAACAGCAAATTGAATTGAAAACTCCTACAAAAACCATCACGTTGTTCAAACAACAGGGTTTCGTAACAAAATTACTACTCTTGCCCTTTTCCGGATCACAATCTGCTGCTTTTCTAGATCCTTTGTACAAACCGCAATTATTCATATTTCGTGTAACTCGACCAAAATGCATCAAGAATATCACTTGAGCAGCCGTTGTCACGACTTCTAAATGTGGTTGAAGCCAAACACCAATTTAGGAACCACTATTAACACCCTCTGCTTCTTCCTTGCAATTAACCGCTCTGTTTCCTGCAAAGTCGCATTAAATGCACTTATACTAGTGGATGTTGCGTGCATGCTTTATATACAAGGTGTTGCAACAATAGGAACAATGCAAACGCTTGCATTTAGGGGACAATGAAAACCTTGGGTTTAGATGAGAAAACTGTCGCTGTATGTTTGATGTACAATCGTTCGTTCAAAAAATTATAAACACTTTTTTGGGCCGAGCTCAAAAAAACATCAGAAAATTGACGCTTTTAACAAACGAGGGAAATATTTTATAATTGCTGCAAGATTTTGAGAAAAAAATCTTGAAGATCTTTGACCATCAATAACAGAGGAGCCAAACATTTTTTCCTAATAAGACTTAGGGCAGATCGTCTTCTCTTGAGCCAAAGAATGTCGCAGAGTTCTTTGACCCTGTATACACAAGTATATAAAGCAACCATTCTCATTTCCAGCCGAATTCACCAGACTCTGAACGTTGCATAAAGCAATCAAATCGCATAAAACGTAACAAACCATTTAACAGCGCTTAAATTACGTTTGGCACTCACCCCATGAAATACAATAAAGCAAATCTCGCCGTCGTAAAATGAGGGGATGTTTAGGGAGACAATTGTTCAAATAATTCGCCCAATCATGCTCTATTATCCCGACAAATCTCCCGGGCCTTGTTGGGTCGATATCGGGGGGTGCGCGTGCGCAACCCCCCCCACTCAGAACTTTTCCTGAACGATTAGAGGGATGAAAAAGGGAGCAACTGGCGCCCTTTCAAACCATCCATACCATTCGTTTCTGGGAACAACAATGGATCCGCGGATGATCCTCATTGGCGAATGTACGACGCCATATTGGGAGGGTGATCTACTGTAGTGTTTGGTTTACATTTGGCTGGAACATCTGCCGCTGGATACGCCGAATTGAATTTCTAATTTATCGGCCACTCCAACTGTTTATTAGGGTAATTCTAGTACTCGTTTCAATGCCATCGTTAATCATTTTTCTTTGGCATTAACAGCGAATACATATTAATGTTACACCCATTATGGTAAAACAGCCCGTTTAGTTTAGACACTGAAGGCAACATTGTTGCTTAAGAAGCTATCAGAGGCATTACTTATTGATTATTCTCCTAGCCGAACAGTTAGGAGCGTCTACACGGATCAATCAACTGAGCTGAGAGTTTTCAAAGCCGTGAAGTAAATTGAATGTAATTAGCAAACAATAGTCCTACTGTTTGGACGTTCTGTTTCGAAAGTATTTAGTGCTTCATTCCATTTTCGAAGTGGTTAAGTTGACGGAACGAGAAGAAAGGGAATTCTTCCACGTACCCAAATAGAACAGCAGTGAATTTTTGGCTTAAACCTTGCCCGATCGGTGGATAGGATGGAGAGGACCCATTGATGGCCTCCTAGATGGCCAGATCTAACTCCGTTTTTTTCAACCCAAACAATCAGCAAGAATTGAAAGAGGACAACCCAAACGAAGTACGTGCCACTCTCACAAGCCGTAAAAGGCACACCTTTTGAACATTTAAGTTTCCCAGAATTTTTCAGAATGTTGAAAAAAATCGTGGCGATTAATTCTTGGTAGGTCCAATCAACAGAAAAACAGATGAATTTTTATGCATAAAAAGCGCTGGGCTTTCGGGTTATTTCATGTAAAACTCATGGATTCTAACCTGTGTCTCTGATAGGGATAAAGAGTTGGCCAGTTGTTTCCGTTCGGCGCCCACCACATAATGGTTTTTTTCGAAGGCGTGTTCTAGTTTGAGTAGCTGCGATGGGCTGAATGCCGTTCGTATCCTCTTCGGTTTTCTGAACGGCTGTAGAAGGAATCCCGGAATATCTGGACCTAAAAACCACAAGAATTTAGAACTTTGTTGTCGCAACATTCCGGACTGGCTAGATTAAAGCGTCCATCGGATTATTCGTATCAACATATTGATGAAACAATTGCTTAAAATTCAGCGCTGAATAAGGCAAAGCGCAGGTGGTTCCGTTAATTACACGCTTGATGGATTATAGGATTAAAAGATATTTACAAGGTGTATTACATATTAATTCATGGAACTCTTCACACCGATTTATAATGTTTTTGCCTTCAGCTGAATGCCATTATCAGAATTGTCTTCATAAAAACGTCAAGCGTTCATTATTGAAGGCTTGGATTAAAGGCAAGCGCGCTTTTGCTCGCCGAAGCAGTGGACGAACGGAACGAATGCAAATGAATGCACGAAGTCCGTGTTTTATCATCTCCTGTAAAATAAGGCAGAACATATTCAATTGAATTCGATCCGTTCGTTACACTTGGAGGCTTTATCTGGTCTAAACGATCGAGCCTTAATGAACTTTCAAACACCATCTTTTAACGCGCCAAAGTTAACTTCGGTTTTTCAAAATGCCATTATCTGCTGTATTCTCTATTTTTTCCACTATTAGGCTGCCATTTTTTTATAAACGACGGAACAAATGTTGAGCAAACCGGTTGAATAAAAAACTCAACTGGATTTCAGCACTGTTTAAAAAATGCCATTAATTATCGTCTTTGCTGTGTGAAGACAACGAACACAAAGAAAATGTTGTTTCCTTTCCTTCCGCTTTCGCCTGGTCGTTCTTTCAAAGCCTGTTTGTATGAACCGCGATAGTCAGAATTCGGACGAATAATTTCGTCAGATTCTTGAGGTTCTTTGTTGTTACTGTACAAATCAGCACATAATTGCTGATAATAATGATGACAATTTTCTACGAGTGAACTTGGAAAAAATTGGTTTAAGTGTCTTGAAATTGCAAATCTCATAAAGGAAATTTAATGATCTCTGCCGTAAATCGAAACGTCGAATTTCAATTACAAAATTGCTAAAAAATGTGTCAATTGTTTTCGATTATTTCTTCAAATAAAATGAGAAAAATATGAAACCGTTTTCTCCAAATTTCGTTCCTTTTTCGGAATATGATTGGAAATAGTCAGGGTTTTCTTAGTCTGACTAATGCACAACTTTGCCCTAATTTAACGGTTCTCGTAGCTGATTTCGCGTGAGGCTCGTAGTCAAACTTTGCGAAATATTTATTTACATTCGTTCCGTTCGTCCGATGCGCGCTTTCCTTCGGCTGGTTGTTTTTTCGAAACGTTTTTACCCGAACCGCGGTTGCCAGAATTCGGACGAATGATTTCGTCAGATTTTGCATTTGTGGTAGGTTTTCTGCTGTTATTTATCAAGCCAGCAAATAATTGTTAATAATATTGGACGATTTTAATGGATGTAATATCAGTAAATTTGGAAAAAAATACATGCAAGAATTGTCGCAATTCAGTAAAAAACAGTGAAATTGGATCATTCGCTCCATTTCGTCCCACTTTCGGCGAACAGGAACCAAAATGCTTCCAGAGGCTGGAATGTTCACTTTCATTCGTTCCGTTCGTCTGATACGCGATTATCTTCGGCTTGATAAATAACGACAAATGACTTAATTCGTGCGCTAGAAACTTTCCAGTGGACGATACCACATATGCAAAATCTGGAAAAAAAATTCCCCCGAATGCTGACAAACGCAGTTCGGGGCCAAAAAGTTTGACAGAAAAACCGGCCGAAGATAAAAGCGCATCTAACGAACGGAACGAATTAAAGTGAGCATTTGTCTTAGTTGAAATGAGATAAGTGCGCGCTTAGCTTTTCACTTGGACTTGGAGGCTTGTTTAGCTGCCCACATCAGGCTGCGTCCTGCCCAAACGATCGGTCTTTAGAATAATCAAATTGTTCTGTGATGAACTCGTTTTCAGCCTTGACTTGAAGACTTATTGGAAATGCGAAAAAAAGCGTTTTCTTGTTCAAAACTGTTTAGAGTTGAGAACCGAAAAGTAGCTAGATTTTAAGGCGTTTAGTGAAGAAAAATCAAGGAAAATCTTGCAGCTGAAAACTAGCTGAATGGTGAAAATGCAATGAATAATTCCAGGCTAATTATGAAAAATTGAGATCGATGCACTGGGATTGGCTAACGAGTGTCTGGTTATCTGAGTGAAACCAACGGTAATATATTCATTGCCAAAACCCAGTCGCCATTAATTCTGGCGAGTGAAATTACAGTGAATTGGCTGTTGCACGACACCCCAAAGAGATGCACATCGGCCTTTCACGCCACTTATATCGATAAATAATTTATAAACTGTTAACACCTAATATTGACCGAGCCGTACAGTTATAATGAATTGAAATAACAATGGTTGCGTAAATCTATGTGTATACGGGCGGCGTGCGATTTTTCCAAAGTGTACTAAACTTCAATTTGCAGTTAATACAATAATAATAAGGTTCCGAGTTTGCCAGCTCGGTTTTCCACATATAATGAACACTTATCGAACGGTCGAAAGCACAGCTAACTTTACCTCAGTCTATCGTAACGATCGCTGGCTAATGATGCGCAAGCACGCAACGCGCTAATTGACTTGTGAAATCGCAACACACAGCTCTATTGTGTTTGAGCCTTACGTGGGCCGCTCTGTTTTATTGGCCGTGCCGTATGTGGATTGTTAGAGCGCGTTTATCAACGGCGAAGACAAATTTCGTTGCGAACGCCATTCAATTGTAACACGTGCAGTTTCCGAACTGAAAAACTCTTTGGATGTTGGTACCAACACGCCTGCTGGCGTTCTTGCAGAGTTACAGACGAACGATAGAACGTTGTTGCACAATGACGCACTTTTCAATGATCATTTTTTCCATTGTCTTGTCTGCACAGTTTATGGGCGTGTCAATCTCACAGCGTGGACGATATTCAGAGCACGCATCTGCCTAGATGAGGTCACATTAAAGTCACCATATCAAGAATTGGGTTTTTCTCGGCCGGCTCTTTTATTTTTTCAGTTTCTTAATTTGCTTTGATTTGTTAAAGGTTTTGTCCCAATTTGCTGGTTGTCTGAGATAAAGAACACTAAAATCTCTTCTGAATTCCTAATACTAAGAGCCAATATGGTTAGAACTGCAAAGCTAACAGCGCATTTTTTCGCTTCAGACGAGTTGAACCAATGGAAACGAATGTTTTTCTTGCTGTTCGTTATCTTCAAACAGAAACGATAATTAACTGAAAGTTTGCAACATTTCTTGCGTCGTTTCTGAAACATTACAAAACTGAATAATGTAGAGAATAGAGAAAAAGTGGACATTTTCAAAAACTGAATTGTTTGCTGATTTGATAAATATCGATGATCCGGTCGCTCATGATAAAACTTTCCACATATACAAAATCTGACGAAATTATTCGTCCGAATTCTGGCAAACGCAGTTCGGGGAAAAAGCGCATCGGACGAACGGAACGAACGAAAATGAGTCTTTATGTATAATAATGTATGTGTACGTAATATGTAATGTAATGTATAACAACGGGTATTCGAAAAAGACGATAAAGAAGACCGATATAAAGACGACGAGTTTTCTTGTAAAATTGATCTCTTAATTTTTTTGCATATGACTCTCCGTTTGCCAGTAGTTTACAGTAAAACGTTAAAAAACGCGTTTTTCTACTTAGATATAGTTTTGTTTACAAATATTGACCTAAAAGTGAATCCCGGATTTTAAAAGAAAACCAAATTATTCACGGCGACGAATGTGACGAGTTTTCCAAATAATTGATTTTAAACTTTCGCTTGTTCTGTTCTGGGGAATATTTTTGGAAAAAACCAGAAAAAATTATTGGGGTTTTGTCCGAAATTTCGAAAGTCCGAAAAGCTGCTAAACAAATTTAGTAAAAAATAAAAATGTTTACAAAACTGTTAAGGAAAGGAGTGTTAATTTTTTAAATTTTTTTCACAGAAAATACCTGAAGATTATCAGTATTCTAAAGTAAAATTAAAAAATAATGCGTTTTTTGACCTGAAATTTGAAAGAACCTTTAAAAATCTTCAGAGCGATGAGGGTGGCCAATTTTCCAAACAATTTTTTGTAAACTTTTTCTCTGCTTTGTTACTCGGCGCGCTTTTTTAAAGGGCAGAGAATAGTTGTAGGGAAACATCAATTTTGAGTCCAACATTGAAAAAGCTCGCACAGCTTAGCATTAGGGGCGATTTCGATAAAACTTTCCTCATCTTTAGAGTCAAGTGTCTTCTAAAGATGGTGAAACTTTCAACTAGCTACTCGTTTTGGTTTGGAAGGTGCGATTTTTTGAAGGACAGAGGGTAGTTCTAAGGAAACATCAATTTTGAGTCCAACATTGAAAAAGCTCGCACAGCTGAGCATTGGGGGTGATTTTGATGAAACTGTCAGCATCTTTAGAGTCGAGTGTCTTATAAAGATGGTGAAACTTTCAACTTGTTACTCGTTTTGGTTTGGACGGCGCGATTTTTTAAAGGGCAGAGGGTAGTTCTAGAGGAACATCAATTTTAAGCCCAACCTTTAAAAAGGTCGCACAGCTCAGCATTGGGGGCGATTTGGATGAAACTTTCAGCATCTTTAGAGTCAAGTGTCTTCTAAAGCTAGTGAAACTTTCAACTGGCTACTCGTTTTGGTTTGGACGGCGCGATTTTTTAAAGGGCAGAGGGTAGTTCTAGAGAAAGATCAATTTTGAGCCCAACCTTTAAAAAGCTCGCACAGCTCAGCATTGGGGGCGATTTGGATGAAACTTTCAGCATCTTTAGAGTCTAGTGTCTTCGAAAGATGGTTAAACTTTCAACTGGCTACTCGTTTTGGTTTGGAAGGTGCGATGTTTTAAAGGACAAATCTGGTTTTTGGGCCAAATTCGAAACTGAAAAATGTTGCGCCGCACTGCGCTAACACCTAAACATTCACTGGGTTATACAGGCCTAATGGAAACATGCATGCGCCTGATACGCCTGTTTGTGCGATATCGGAGTTCAAATAGGGC